TAAAAGATATGGATTTCTCCATCTGCATTCTGAGTCTATCACCTCTATAAGGAAATGGGTAGAATATTTCATTATGAATCTTCCTCAGTCATGATTGAACACTATATTGATTAGAGTTATTAAGTCTTTCAGAGTTATTCATTTTGTATAGCAATCTTGTTACACAAATTCTTCTTGTGGTTCTGCTCATTTCAGTCTGCATCAGTTCATACAAGTCTTCCCAGGTTTCTCTGACATCATCCCCTTCATCATTTCTTCCATCACATTTACATACCATAACCCACTCAATCATTCCTCAACTGATGGACAGCTCCTCATTTTCCAGTATTTGACCACCACAAAAAGGGCTGCTATAAATATTTTTGTACATATGAGACTTTCCCTTCTTACTTAGATATCTGCTAGTGGTATTTCTGAGTTAAAGGAAATGTATCATTTAATAACATTTTAGCTGTCGTTCCAAAATGTTTTCCAGAATGGCTGGACCCAATTCACAGATCCACTAAGGATGCATTAATGCATTTTAATATGTAATTATTAACAGACTTTCTTAATTGGTCTCCTAGCCTGCAGCAAGTCAGACACAACAAACTAGAAGGGTTATGGGAACAAAATAATAAGATTTTAGGGCTGGAAGTTACTTTACAGCTCACCTAGTCCAACTATCCCATCTTGCAGATGAGAAGACTGAGACCCAGAAAGATTAGGAGATTTGCCCAGGGTCACTGAAGCAGTCAATAATAGAGACAAGAGTTGAACAGAAGCTTTCCATCTCAAAATAGCTCTTTCCCCTGTGCCGCATTGCCTCTTGCTGTTCAGTCATTTCAGTCATGTCCAAACCTTTGTGACCCCATTCGAGATTTTATTGGTAAAGATATGTGTGGTTTGCCATTTCCTTCTCTAGCTCAATTTACAGAGGAGGAAACTGAGGCAAACAGGGTTAAGTGATTTGCCCAGGGTCACATAGTTACTATATATCTGTGGCCAGATTAGAACTCAGGAAGATTAATGTTTTGAATCCAAGCCCACTGCTCTATCAGCTGTAACACCCAGCTGCTACCACCACCCTGCCTCTACTAATCTCACTGTAGGACCCAGTTCTCCTGAACCACAGTCCTTCATTCTTCTCACATCATAGCTATTTATAGTTTATTTAATACAATTGGGATTTTAAAAAAGAAAACATAACACAGCATGGCTCTATCTCAGAACAGCCAAAATCTCCCATCTTTTAGAGAGTACAGGCACTGTGTTCTGTTTTCCAAAAGGAGATGCTTAAGTGATTCAAGGCTCTAGGACACACAGTTCTCCCACAGCTCCCAGGAGTATGGACATATTTAGAAACTCCAGAATCTACAAATGTTTCAGGGGGCACACAATCTGGCTCATCATTCACTGTCACTTGTAGACATTCATTGCCAGAGTAAAATATTTCAAATCACAAGTCTCCCATTCAGTTCCCATATCTTCTACTGCTAAGAGGGGACTACTACATCACAAGCTCTTGACTTACAGCTGTCTAAGGTCCTTCTGATGCACAAGTGGCCCTTGTGGTCATCCAGTTAGGTAAGATACATTTATGAAGCAATTACTATGTGCTAGCCACCATGCTAAGTAAGCACATAGCTTACTATGTACTATTCTAGACACAGAGAATACGAAGACAAAAACAGCCCCTGTTCTCAAGGAGCCCACATTCTAATCAAGGAGACAATATACAAACAGCTGTATACAAACAAAAGACACATATTTTTTGTGTGTGTCTGTATCTACATATATCACAAACACAGAGATACACATATGCATATGTATGTGTTGTCTGTATCTATATGTATCACACATATATGTGTGTGTGCATCTGTATCTATGTCACACACATATACATGCATATATTATACATATACATATACATATACATATACATATACATATACATATACATATACATATACATACATACGTATAATACATATACATATACATATACATATACATATACATATACATATACATATACATATACACATACAAAAACAATTATCTCTTCCACATCACAGGGATTCGAGGCATGGTGCCCCCACAATCTAGAAAATCCACTTAAAATTTTTTTGTCTTCCCTTCATACCAGACAAGAAGTCTGATTTTTTTCTTTTTCTTTTTAGGGTGTTTACATTACCTTATTGTAACATTTGGGTTGATGTTATACAATGCTATGCATATATTTTATGCATTTATGAGTTTCTAAACTTTTTCTATGTCATCTGCTGGCCTTCATGTGTAGCTTGTAGCTTCCATAAAATTTCCCCAAAATTCCCATTTAATTTCTTATGCTGACACATGATATATCAAAATCATGATGGGGAAAGTCACAATGAGAAAGGGATATCTATCTACCCACCTATCTATCTATCTGTCTATCTATCTATCTGTCTATCTATCTATCTATCTATCTATCTATCTATCTATCTATCTATCTATCTATCTGTCTGTCTCAATTCTTCTTACTACTTGAGGGAAGCCTGGAGGTGGAAGTAAAGATGGAGAGCATTCCAGGCAAGGGGGAGCAGTTAGTGAAAATGTATAGTCAGTGGAAAATTGGGAGCTCAGTAGTTGCTTCTTGGACACAGGTTAAGGTTTGAAACCTGGTGCAGTATAAGCTAGTGTTCTAGTGAGTAGAGTAGTGGGAGAGGGATTCCAGCATCCGAGGGGATCTCAGGATTTCTCCTACTTGGGATTCTAGATATCAAGCTCAAAGGGACCCATAGGCATCTAGATGACTCCTCATTTGGATCACTCCTTTTCATTTCTTACATTCTGCTTCATACCGTAGTTAGTATTTTATCCCTCCTCTTAGACAGCAAGCACTGTGAAAGGCAGGACCCCTGTCTCTGATCTTTGTAAATCTATTTCATGGGTTGTACTTAACTCATACAGGAAGTCACTCATTTCTAATGTTGGAATTATTTCTGAATTATCTTGAATCTGATTCCTGAATCAGAATACAGTTGCCTCTATGGCCAGACAACTTGATTATGTTCTCTTCATGTACACTGCTTTATACATGCCCTTTCATCACATATGCTCCCCACATGAGCCCTCCTATGTGTGTTCCTTGCCTGTGCCCCTTCATATGTTCCCTCTGTGCACATTTCCTTTGTATTTTCCCCTACTTGGATTGCCTAGTTCTCTATGTGTTTCCTCTTCTTTCTCTACTAGTGGTATGGTAACTTATGTGAGATTATACACAATATGCACGGCAGAAGAGATACTCTTTGTCACCTATTTTGCTGTACTGTTTAATTAAATGTCCTTTCTTTGAACTAGTGTGTCTTTTGATTGGTCTAGTTTAAGGAAATATATCTGAGAGGACTCATGAGCTATGATTTTAAGTGAATGATGACCCACAAAGTACCTCAAATTTGGAATAGTTTTCTGGAAACACAATTTGAGAGGAGCTCTGGGGCTGTTCTTGTATCAAGAGATGCCATACTTTTGGTCACACAACCCATTTAACTTCACAAGTGATGCTTAATGTAAGGAAGAAGAAAAGGAGTTTGTCTGTGCCTCAGTTGCCCTTTTAGTAACTTTAAGTTCTGTTCCTTTACTTCTAAGAGGATAGAAGTCACTCAAGAGTATGTTTCCTGCTTTCCCCTCCTATTCTACCATCCTCTTCTCCCTCTTGCTGTGAATAGAGGGAATAGGCCTGGCCAGGGAACACTCATGGTAAAGCATATGTGTGGTGACTTCACGTGGTCAGGGAACATGTGTGGCCCATGCCCCTAGTGCTACTGGATCATTGATATCCTCTGACAATGTCATCATGCTGCTCTTTGCTGGGAGTCTCTCCTCTCTGCCAGACATTTACATTAAGCTGGAACCATTCTTTTCTGCCACTATTTGGTCTTCAGCTATCATGCTGTTTCATGCTGTGGGGGAGGAGTCTAGCAACTTATTAGTTATAGAGCAGGAAAGGCTCTATCTTTAGCACTTTAATAATGCATATCCTAGCCAGCGACTCCCAGGTAGCTAGCCACAGAACTTTCACTTGTGTCTTCAAAATCAAAACCCTTTGGATTCCATCAGTGAATTCAGTCCCTTTTTTGATAGAAAATTCCTTTCTATGCCGTTTATGGACTAAGCAAACCACCACCCAAGCAGCTTCAGTTACCGAGACTGGAGGGGCAGGGAAAAATTGGCCACATTTTCTCTTGCATTCTTGCCAGCAACAAAATCGACGATCTGCCTCCATGAGGTCTTATCACCTTCGTGTATTTGTGGGTATTTGTGTGATGCAAAGAGATAATTTAATAACTTTCTACGTATCATAGTGTTTCTATTGGTCAAGAAAACAGTCCCTTCAAAAGTACTTGCACAAATAACAAAGAATAGTGTAGTCTTCCTGTCAATGACAGCTTATCCTATTTTCTTAAAGTTAACAGTACAGAATCATCTTGTTTTATTGGTATAAAAGAGTGATTGAATCATTGCATAATCTAGTTAGACTTTCTACATACCCTCTCTCCACAACACCAAAATTAAAGTGTGACATTCTTTGATTAATGAATAAGAATAGAAGATCAACATTGCCTAATCTTGGAACCATTTGTAGTTTATATATCCCTGCTCTCTTGGTGTTGGGCCAGGAGCTCTGCCATATTCAGGACAAAAGAACATATAAGAAAGTAATCCCTCTCTGGAAGCGATAGCCAAAATGTTCTTGTTAACAAGGCTGCTATGCATTACTAAATGCTCTCTTGTCAATCTCCCCTTGTGCTCCTATACAGGAGGAAATTTCAGTGTCTCAGTACAAATTTAATAAGGAGAACCTAAACTGTACTACAGAGACTAATAAATTCCTGCCAAGCAGCAGGAGAAAGAAATAGGAGGTTTTGGGTTTAAAGAACCCCAGACAAACCATGCCCCTCTTAACAACTTTGTAGTTAAGAAAACCCTTGTTAACAAGTATTAGCAAAATTGTACAGCTAAGGTTTCAAAGTTACCTAGAGAAATGTAGATCAAAGGCTTCAAATGCAGAGCTGCACATTGCTGGCCGGGGAGGGGAACAAAGGCCTCTGATTAATTCCAAGCTGTTAAACACATATGAAACAAGTGTAAGAAGAGTTGATTGAGAATCCTTTTTGGTATCTATACTTGAGTAAAGAATCTGTAGCAAATGGGTTTGGGTGGCCCTCTCTAACCTGTGAAAATGTTTATCCTTTGAAGAATGATATCCTTCCTATATCCCATCCCATTTACAGGATAAATTGAAGTAATCTAGAGAGATCAGAATCAGGACTTGAACCACTTGGAGTCTTTTTCTAAAAATGCAAAACAGCTCAGTACAGGACTTTCAATCAATAATATGACATCACTTACTTGTAACCTTATCCGTATGATTATTCCTTCCCCTGGAGTAAATCACAACCTTCTTTATCTATGTAGATGAGCACCATGAATTGTTCTGTGTAAAAACTTCGTTACTTGGTGGCCCAAATTCTGAAAGTGAGCATTTCTAAAAAGAGCAAGGTTGGTCCTTGAACAAAAGACATTAATTCAATAAGCATTTATTGAGAATCTTTTGCATATCAGACACTATGTGAGGTGACACAAAGACAAAACCAAAACCAGTCCTTGACCTCAAGAAGCCTATGTTATACTTGGGGATTGAGATGTACACAAATAAGTGAATACAAAATATATTTAGAGTAGATTTTGTGGTTCAGTTGTTTGAGTTGTGTCCAACTCTCCATGATCCCATTTGGGGTTTTCTTGCCAAAGATAGAGAAGAGGTTTGCCATTTCCTTCTCCAGCTCATTTTAAAGATGAGGAAATTGAGGCAAACTGGGTTAATTGACTTTCCCAAGGTCACACAGCTAACAATGGTCTGAAGCTTGATTTCAACTCAGGTCTTCTTGACTCCAGACCTGGTGCTTTACCCACTTAGCTGTCCACAAAGTACACACAAAGAAATATTAGAGAAAATGGAGTCCTTAGCAACTTAGAGGATTTGTAAAGGGTTTAAGGTAGCATTTTAGCTGAGCCATGAAGGATGGTAGGAATTCTAACAGGTAGAGGTGAGGATGAAATGTATCTCAGGCCTGGAGGCCAGTCTATATGAGTGTAGAGTGGACCTACACACATTCAATCATAGCATAGTGTCATAGAATTAGAGTTGGAAGGGACCTCAGAAACCATCTTGTCCAATCCATCCATTTTACAGGTGAAGAAACTGAAATGGGTAAGTGACTTTTTCCAGGTCTCACAGATAGCAGTATCAGATCTACCCTGGGCCAATATTCTGAAATCGTTTTAGCCTATGTTCCACAGGCATAGGCTTTGAGAACCAAGGATCTTCTTTGTAGTAACAGAGTAGAACTTAAGGGGCAGAGCCAAGGTAGCGGAGTAAAAGCAGTGACTTGCTTGAGCTCTCCCTCAAACCCCTCCAAACACCTGTGAAAAATGGCTTTAAACAAATTCTAAAGCAACAGAACCCACAAAAAGACAGAATGAAGCAAATTTCCAGCTCAAGACAACCTGGATGGTTGACTGGGAAGGTCTGTTGAGCTGGGTGGGGAGAGGAATGTAGTTCAGCGTGAGCACACAGGCAAAACAGGCCTCAGAGAAACTGGAGCAGGCCTCAGAGGACTGTGGCAGTTTCCAGACTTCTCCACCCACGAACACCAAAGAGAACTTAGAAAGTCAGTAGGAAAAGTCTATGACTGCGATGAGAGAGGAGCTTGGTCTGACCCCAGTCCTAGTGTACTCCCAAAACAATGGCTGCTTCTGGAGCTCTTGGCCCACAGATAGAATGGGAATCAAGTGGCTGATCAAAGCGGGATTGCAGCGATCTCTTTGCTGGTGCTGAGGCAGGACTGATCTGGGTCATAGTTCTGGGTGGTGGTCCTAGGGCAAGGAGGAGTGCTGGATGGTGGAGCTTGTAGTGGCAGTGAAGTGAGAATCCTCCTCACAGTTCCAAGAAAAGAGTGTTTGTGGTCACCCATAGACTAGAGCACAGGCCAGGAAAGGAGTAAACACCCTGCCCCTTGATCATAGCACCTTGGAAGAACTGAAAATTTACAGGTCCCTAGAAGTATCTCTGAAAACAGCTGCACAAAACCACTGAAGCTTGGGACAGTACATTCTCCACACTGGAAGCAGACCCCTACCTTAACAAAGAGTTTATAACTCAAGTAATTGGCTGGGATCATGAGCAAACTGTGCAAAAAGATGTCAGACCATAGAATCTTTCTTTGGTAACAAAGAAGATCAAAATATACAACCAGAAGAAGACAACAAAGTCAAAACTCCTACATCTAAAGCCTCCAAGAAAAATATGGACTGGTTCCAGGCTGTGGAAGAGCTCAGAAAGGATTTTGAGAAGCAAGTAAGAGAAGTAGAGGAAAAACTGGGTAGAGAAATGAGAGTGATGCAGAGTAGAACTTAAGTGGAGAATTTAGATGTCCCAAAATCTGTGGCAGAAAGAACTTTTCTCAAATTGCATTAATTCATTCACTTATGTGACAAATATTTATATTTCTAATATTTGTTGATGAGTTGTATTATGCAAAGAAACTTAGAATTGTAATTAAATGTTATTTTCAGAATACATTGCCTGAGTATAAAAAATGCATGATAAAATTAAAAGTCTAATATTCTAAACAGATATGTATTTTTAAATAGAAGGAAGCAAAATGTTCTGGATGCTTTCCCCAAATTACCCATCTTGAATAAGATATGATCTTTTGCATTTGTAATAGCAAAATCCCAAAAGTTAACTCCTAAGGAAAATGATTACATCTGTTTTAGGGTAAGAACATCTGCCATTCATTATCCAGGTTGCAGACATCTGAGGACTAACGGATTCTGCCGGAGTGGAGGTAAAGTTCATTTTAAGTTTCTAGCCTTTGGGTTTATTATTACAGAGGGAATGGGAGCAATATGAGGAAAATCTCCTATACATAAACACATTCTTCATGGTTAAAAATAAATGTCACAAGACAAAGAACACATAGAAGATGGCTTGTAGAAAGGATCTATTGTACTATTCTAGCAATAGAATGTTTTATTCATCAGTAAGAACGTAGAGATATTAAGAAGCACCACACTATCAGGGGAAGAGCACTGGTCTTAGGAGACCTGGATTTGGATTTCATATCCACCACTTACTTGCCACATGACCATGGGCAAATTGTTTAACCTCTTTGAGTCTCACTCAATTTGTTCATCTGTACAATGGAGGTAATGCTTATATTGCTCACCTCACACAGCGATTGTAAGGAAAGTACTCTGTAAACTTGAAAATGCCATGTAAATATAAATAATTATTAAAGTGTCTTTACATCTGAATCATAAGAATAAGGATCCTTGAGGGCAGGGCTCATGTCTCTTTTGTACCTCCCGCAGTGCCTAGCACAATGCTCTGCATATATCAGAAGTTCAATAAATGCTTGTTGAAGAAATGAAATCGATAGAAAATTGAGGGGGAGGTAGAGGTGGTGTGAAAATATCATAAGCTGAGTAAAATCTTCAAATGCCATTACTACTTGAATGTAAACTATGTATCACCAAAGTCAGCCAGATTCCTATGGTCTCTTTATAAACAGCACAAAGAATCAGCACCATGGCTTTGCATTGATTTGGTTTTTAGTTATATTTCTATAATGCCTTTCTCCTGAAATTTCAAAATGCAGAGCATAATTTCCCATATTCAATAAACTCCAATGGCTCCTATTACCTCTAGAATTAAATATAAACTGCTCTGTATGGCATTTAAAGCTTTTCCCCAGTTGACTTCTAAATTTCTTTTCAGTCTTCTCACTCCTCACTTCTCTTCTTCCCCTCCCCCCACACTCTATGACCTAGTCATACCAGCCTAGGTGTTCCACACCCTGGATGCCCTATTCTTCTTTGCTGTGGCTTTGCACTGGATAACACCCATTCCTGGAATATTCTCCCTACTTACCCCTACTGTCTAGAATTTCTAGCTTCCTTTAAGACTTAGTTTACATCACAGTAGTATTCCATCACAATCGTATAACACCACTGGTTCAACCATTCCCCAAGCGATGGGCATCCCCCAATTTCCAGCTCTTTGCCATAACAAAGAAAGCTGCTATACATATTTTAGAACATAAAGATTCTTTCCCTTTTTCTTTAATCATCTTTGGGAATAGACCTAGTAGTGGTACGGCTAGGTCAAAGGGTATAGAGCAGGCAGTTTAATAACTCTTTGGGCATTATTCCAGATTGCTCTCCAAAATGGTTGGATCAGTTCACAATTTCACCAACAGTGAATTACTGCCCCAATTTTTCCACATCCCTTCCAACATTTGTCACTTTCCCCTTCAATCATTTTAGACAATCTGATAGGTATAAAATGATATCTCAAGATTGTTTTAATTTGCATTTCTCTAATCAATAAAACAAAATTAACTACAAAGGACATATGAAGATGCTATCTATATCCAGAGAAAGAACTGATAAATAGAAGTATATATAGAATTGTGTGTGTGTGTGTGTGTGTGTGTGTGTGTGTGTGTGTGTTTAATGGTAGCCATCTCTAGGGTGGGAGGGAGGGAAGAAAAAAAAGAAATTTACATGATAACTTTATTATATACTTAAAAGGAATAGCAAGTTGGACATGATAGATTTGCAGTTTCATGTGCAATCATCTTTTTAAAATATTATATATTATATTGTATTATATTGTATTATATTATATTATATTATATTATATTATATTATATTATATTATATTATATTATATTATATTATTATATATATATATTATATTATATTATATTATATTATATATTAATTATATTATATATATATATCATATTATATTATATTATATTATATCATATTATATTATATCATCATATTATATATATTATATATATCATATCATATTATATTATATTATATATATATATTATATATCAATCATATATTATATTATATCATATTATTCATATATATATCATATCATATCATATTATATCATATCATATTATATCATATTATAGTATATTATATCATATTATATCATATTATAAAAATGTTTTCTATTCCATAAATTAAAAATAAAATAAAAAATTTTAAAACACTCAGCTTAAATCCCACCTCATGTTGAAAAGTTGTTGTGAAGCTAAAAGAAGATAATATTTGTAAAGTGCATTGCAAACTTTAATGCATCATATAAGGTTGGTTGCTAATATTATTATTATTATTATTATTATTAGCCTTCCCCTATCTCACAGACTTCCCCTCTGTCTGGTTTAGTTTCAGTGAGGTTTGGGGTTCCAAGGTACAGTATAAGAAGAGACAACAATCTCTCTTATATGTCACATGTTCCAAGAAAAAAGAGCTAAAAGGACAAGTAGTTGGAGTAGGGCCCGAGTCATGGCCTTGGGGTAGGAGAAAGCAGAGGTCCTACCCTTAGCTGTGGGGTTTCTGATCCAGCCCTTGACGCCTTCAGCTTGGG